ATGACAAATTGCGTTTTGGATACTGTTAGAACCCAGGCGAGTTCAAGGCTGCAATCCAACCTGAATGAGATCACTTGTCCTGAGGGAAGACCATGTGAACGGAACTGTGTCCGGAGGCCTATTTATCAGATTGTGTGGGAAAAATCAACTTTTAATCCTTTAGCCACCTCAGGCGACTTTGGACAAACTAGATCTTATTGAAGAACCAGTGACGCTATAAAAAATTACCTTTTTCATGAGTGATTCAGTTTTTGAGACTACCAGTAAATCGGATCTATGAGATGTGTTCCCTCTATTTCATTTAAGGTAATGAAGCACTGGTAGTTGCATTTCCCACAATAATATGAGCAGAACTGATGTTTTCCATTGCATTTATCATAGCCTTGCTTTCCTAAAAGTGGACGGAACGTTCGACCTCGAATATGTCTTAGCAACACACTCAGCCGGGAGTCGAACCATGAAAGGGCAACGTGTAATCTCGACATGTTAAGCACAACGCCACATTGCCACGACTGCCCTTGGATCACAGTGACGAGGTGAATTTCAAGAAATGTCAGGCATCCATTCGAATCAGCTGAAATTGCTGTAGGTCATTCTTGTACCATAATTTGAAGTTGTCAAATAACTTTGGTTACCAGGTGGGGTGGAGTTGTTGAAGAGAAGATGCGGGTTTCCAAGAATCTTTTGATATAGGATTGATGTCAAATCTTTCATTTCGTATGGAAGGACATGGTGAAGAGATTCGTAGGTAAATCTCATCAGAAGTCGCAGGCTGATTCGCGCTGTACTGCAGCCGTTTTAGAATTAGTACGGCATCAGGTTGATGCAGTCTACGAGAGATCCTCTAACTTTTCGGGCGAAACCGTGCCGAACTTTCACTCTTCATGTAACGAGCATCGTCAGAGCTGGAACTCATTCGTGTAAAAGCCTCAAGTTAACACTAACTCGAGAAGACTAACCAGCTATTTTCTAATTGCTGTACATACTCATTACGAGCGAAATTTAACCTGAACGTCGTATTGCTTTTTAGATACATGGATGATTATTTGGTGATCTTGCCGCGTGGTAAAAATGGTTTAGATAGTTTCCTATTTTCACTTAACCAGCGTAAAAGAAAACTTAGATTCACAATGGAATTAGAATAAAATAGGAAATTAACTTTTTATGGACATGATGGTGATTAGGGAGTCTCGAAACCCTACTCTCATACAGCATATTCTGGTTTTGTTTTTGATTTTCTTTCTAACCATAGTTACAAAAGTAAAGTTGGAATTTTAAAATCTATTGAAGATATGAAGACCATGTTGTTGTGGCCTCTGGTATAGTCGCAGTCTTTTTTCGATTTCTAGAAGTGGATTGACCTTGTTTTCGCAACTTGGTCTTGTTGTCATGGCGACTATGTAGAACGCGCCTAGTCCGAAGTCGTGTGCCATAATACTTTTCATGATTCCCAGCATTTGACAGTGGACTTGGTACATTCTTAAACATTTCGCCGGCATCGTAGTCGGCATCATCCGTCAGGGTTACCCGTCTACGCAGTAAACTACGAACTCATCAAAGAGACAAATGAAGTCAATCCCTCTTTGACGAGTTTATTGCAAAACGGACTGATGATACCGACTACGATGCCGGCGAAACGTTTGAGAATGTACCAAGTACACTGTCAAATGCTGGGAATCATGACAACTACTATGGCAGAGAATTTCGGACTAGGTGCATTCTACCAAGTCGCCCTGACGACAAGACCAAGTTGCGACAACGAGGTCAGCTCAGTTCTTTAAAATATATGCTTAATAGAGGTGTGAGGCTGTATATGATAATCATCTGACTGAATAGTCGTAGAGAATAATTATCCTTTGGGCTTAATTGGTCAGAGAGAAGTAGGCCGAGAGCCTATCGCATCTTTTCGATTTGTTGTCATGTTTTCTTTCCAAGAAGATATGAGAAGTAGTGAGGAGAGATGTAGCAAAACCGGTTTTCAAAGAAACTCTGACACTTTCTTCGGTTATTTGTTCATTCAAAGAGCAACACGAGTCATTAGCAAGATACTGATTATGGTACTTATGCTGTTAAAAGGAAGATAAGAAAGGCTATTGAAATGAATAAATTAAGAAATACGTTGAATGTGAAGAATGTTGGTAGAGAGTTGAGTAAAAATTGCTCATGTTGCAGTGAAAGAATGCAAGAGAGAGAGGGTATTCAGCCGCTGTCGGAAAGAAGACGACTCAATTTGTCAGCTGATTGATGGTTATAATCAGATTGACATCCGTTCAACAGACATGTCAAGCTCATGCGAGGTTGCACAATTTCAGCCAAACTTCTCCTTTGGTCATAATACATTAATAATCCAGACTGACGGGTTCGGACTGGTGGTTTAATAACTTGACTCTCACGTGTGCACACTTACATATTGCCAAATTAACTAGGGTTAATTAAGGATTGACGCAATATCGGTCATCCTATTTTATTTAATTTTCTTTTTGAGTCATTAAGACCGGATGACTCGTGGCTGGTATTTAACTTGTTCCTGAATTATGACCTGTTTTGCATACAGACGTTAATATACATACACAAGCATGCGTGAATTAACCAAACCATTCTTTATTAATATTTATTTTAACTTTTACTCGCAAGGGATATATAAAATTAGTTGAGTAGACTTTCGAGACTACCAGTAAATAAGTAATATGAGATGTATTCACTCTATTTCGTTTAAGGGGATGAAGGGCTCATAATAGAATTTTCCCACAATCATATGAGTAGAGCTGACATGGGAAAATTCTGCTACCAGTCCTGCATCACCTTAAATGAAATGGGGTGAAAACATCTCGTAAATATATCATACAGAAAAATTAGGTCAGTCTTTTCAACTTGAGGTTAAGTTGAGGCTTTTACAAGAATGAGTCCCAGCTCTGAGGATGCTCGCGACATGGCGAAAGAAGGTCTTTACCCGAAGCAGTGGAGGTTAGGGTTAGGGTTAGAGTAGAACGCAAATCAGCCGACGTTTTTCAGTGAGATTTTTATTGGCAAAAAACTGTTTTAACATTAAAGTGTTTTTTAATTTATCGCTGTTGAGGTAAAATTCTTATAAATTGGCTAAACAGGGTTGATTGATGAGTTAAAATGAAAGTTATTTTCATTAAAACTTGGCTGCATTGATAGTTGAGGTGAAGACATTCTCAGAGAAATGAGCAACAGCCAAGTTAACTTGAAGTGATTAGAGATTTAGCCTTTAAGGCAGATCAAGATTGTATCAAGACGAATCGAAAAGTGAAAGGGTGAATGAGACGAAGTCAGATATTAAACTGAAATTGGTTGTACTACTATATTGCTAATGAGTAGTATAGGCGAGTATGATTTGATATTAAATAGGAAGTCGAGTCAGTCGAGTTCGCAGACTTTTCACTCACAATTGGTGTGAATACAAGGGATTGCGTGATGCCTCAAACTTCACGACTTACTTGAATCCCATTAAGATCTAAACAATTCCATGCCTGACCGTAACGAGTCTAGTTCGCGTTCGAGATGTTCTGTTCATCGAAACAGGTTTTTGGAAGGGTCCTCCAAAAATATCAGTTGAACAGCCATACTCAGAATTCACAATATAAAGTATGATGCGAAGGTAGTATCAGGAGAATGTAACTTTTGGTAGGGAATTATGACATGATTAAAATGCTATACTTTGGATGGGCTAAAGGTACTCTCGAAGGGATAATCAGATGAGCTCTACTCTCATTCTATAGCCTACTTATTTACTTGTTAGAAGATAAACTTTTTATTTTGAAATATGCATTTATTACGTTTTATGGCAGATAGATTTGTTAAAGGGCATGCTTTTTTAATCGAAAAGTCCCACATAATTGTGGAATGTTTCGTACCTGTCTTGTATTAAAAGTTAATTCCGACTTTTGACCCACTGAAGCCTATTCGATGGGCTCGAGCCAGTTTATTGCACCGTTTAAGCTTCAGATTAAAATTGGAAAGTAAGGTCGCATTTACAGTCTGTCGAATGTGAACATGCGAGATAAGAAATGGATGTTCCACATTTGATGCTCATATCCATGAAAGTAAGTGGCGTATTTCCCTCACTATCATAGCTTTTCTCCTATTTCTGGTTGGAAGCATGCCAAAAGATCTTATTAACCCTCTTCGAATGGCACTTCTTCAACAAGCTTGACAAGCCAGGAGCGATATGATCACATGCCAACAGTTGCAAAAGGTCAATCTGTATGATTGATCAAGTGAAACCCCTGAACAGAACAGATAAGCGACGCATCTTCCAGGGCACAAGCGCAACTCTGATAGGTTTGAGGTGTGCCAACTTTCGAGGAGTGTGAATAGGCTTGACTAAAT